CGACCTGGCACATTCGCCGGAAGGCCTTTTAGAAGGTCCTCAGCCTCTGAAAGCATTTCCATTGGTCTATGACTCGTGTTGGTTGATTGGCGACTTTTAGGTCAACTCCACGACAATTCTTATTGGTCCGTGGTTCGAGTTCACTAATTGGTAACATTTTCGAGCAGACTCTTAGAAGATTTTTGGGCTGACAGGTGTTGACGACAACGCTATCGAAGGAATTCGTGTCCGACACAAGTCAACGACTCATACATGGGCACAACTCAATGTCATTCGTCGAATTAGCAGACGAGATCAAGCGTTTGAAAGAATTAGAGGTGTTTTTCTTGGTTTTGACTAAATTTAGGGGACTGGTTCCTACTTCAAACTGCGGAATTCACACAAATATCCAGATGGTGGTCCTTATGAGGAGCGCTTCGTATTCCACAGTCAAAAATACGTTTGCGTGCTGACTTCGAGCCGAAAGCCTGCTCTAGGCATCAAGAAAATAATATTTCCTGCGCAGACGTACAGGCTTCCGTGCATTCTCGAAAATTATTCATCCGAAGGTGGGGGGGGGTTGCCTCGTCATCACGTTATTCAGGGTGGGGCATGCCCTGGAACCCTTCCAACGGAGCCCTTACGTGCTGAGCAATGCAGCCCGAATTCCACATTAGAAGACTTTCCACACTGCGTACTTCCTCGTTAACGAGATGCGTATTCAGCGTAAACCTTTTTTAGAGCACAAGGACAACCCCGATTGCTGTGTTCTGCATTTAAAGGAATCATTGGTCGAATTTACTTTGTAGCCTTACCTGCAGTAGATGAGCTACGGCATAACTCCTTATCCCAACTCCTTACCCAAACTCCTAACCCCAAACCCTGACTCTGAACCACTGACCCCTAACATCTAACTCTTACCACCAACACCCAACCCGAAACCTAACCTTTTGCATGTACGGCTACGAAACAGGATTTTGCCGAATTATGAAAAAAGGGACTTTTGAAGGCTTTAACGATCTTTTTTTCCGCGGTGGAGTGTTACAAGACCGTAGATTCCCATAACCAATCTGTTCAATTTTCAGGCGTCACATACCAACTTTGAACGAAAGCTAGGCCTCAAGTTGCGGCCAAGTTAGGGTTCCAGGGCATGCTCCACCCTGAATAACGTGATGACGAGGCAACCCCCCCCACCTTCGGATGAATAATTTTCGAGAATGCACGGAAGCCTGTACGTCTGCGCAGGAAATATTATTTACTTGATGCCTAGAGCAGGCTTTCGGCTCGAAGTCAGCACGCAAACGTATTTTTGACTGAAGAATGCGAAGCGCTCCTCATGAGGGCCACAATGTGGTTATTTATGTGAATTCCGCAGTTTGAAGTAGGAACCAGTCCCCTAATTTTTGTGAAAACCAAGAAAAACACCTCTAATTCTTTCAAACGCTTGATCTCGTCTGCTAATTCGACGAAAGACATTGAGTTGTGCCCATGTATGAGTCGTTGACTTGTGTCGGACACGAATTCCTTCGATAGCGTTGTCATCAGCACCTGTCAGCCCAAAAATCTTCTAAGAGTCGGCTCGAAAATGTTACCAATTAGCGAACTCGAACCACGGACCAATAAGAATTGTCGTGGAGTTGACCTAAAAGTCGCCAATCAACCAACACGAGTCATAGACCAATGGAAATGCTTTCAGAGGCTGAGGACCTTCTAAAAGGCCTTCCGGCGAATGTGCCAGGTCG